GCTTGCGATATCATTTAAGAATGTCCATTTTCTGGCTAGTCCGAATATCCCTGAAAATTGTGAGCATTGATTTTGATTGTATATGGTGTGTGTTTAATAAAAATGGGTCAAATTATACTGAAAATATTAACTGCAAGACAGTATTCGATTGAACACAAATCAGGCGAAATCATTCGTTGGTGTGCCTATCAGTTGCTGACCTTTGTCTACTGTACAGTTAACGGTGGCAGCTTGTTTCCATAACAAATATTTACCGCCTCTCAACTAACCTAACAGCTGCATTATTAGCGTAATTCGACAGTGACCGAAGTAATTGAACTTATCACTAAATGCTTTAGATTAAAAGTTGAATAACATTAAGAAAATGCAGAAATCTTTTGAGACAATAAGATTTTCTTTTTTCATCCAAAGCAGAGCTTATTATACTTATCTGGATAAGCGGCGTGTCATCTACCCTAAGTTTGTTTTTCAATGTCATATTTTACAATCCTTCTATATTTAGATATTTGAACACCCCATCCAAAAATCTAAACACAAAGCTTCTAGGCCTATCCCAGAAAAACAATGTCAAGCAATAAAACCTTAGTGTTTCCTGTACTTTCCTTAGTAGTATAACACATACAATACACTATATTGAAGTTTTTGCAGCCTTCTTACCATATCCGAAACCTGATTACTCCAGTATCACACTTCTAACACAGCTTTCTACTGTGGAATTTCTGTTCTCTTAAATTCACAAGTTTTGTGAAAGGAGATAGTCAAACAAAGCAAAAGCTGATGATTCAGGGGAATGATTTTTGCTCTCACAAATTTTATTTGTCCAAATATCCATCAGTTTACCTAGTGTACTTTTTTACGATAGACAATTCATCTTCACAGCACTCTTTACATGTTTCTTACTAATACTTACTTTAATCAGTATCCTAAGCTACATGAGTATTCTACGTTAACTGTTGGGCCGGTTAAAAGGTAATCAGTTGTTATAGTGATTTGCAGTCCTTAAGCTAAGGTAGTGGCATCTAGTGAATACTATCTATTAAACATATTCTGCTTCAGTTTAACTGAGTACAAGAAGGAAAATACTTGGTTTCAAGATTGACAGTAGATAACTAACCAAAAGGGTTAATGAGATCTTAATGAAACTTCCGAAGAACAGCTGTGTTAGTTTCATTCAACATGCGTACATCTAGACATCCCATTAACTACCACATAATGTAGAATTCCATATTTACTAGTCAAGTTCCATGGGATGCTGTAGTATTTAGACAGTTTTGGCATTGAACCTCAAAGAAATACAATATCGAGACCATAAAACAGTTCGTCTTCTGAACACCTGACATTATTTTATATATCCTGGATCTCATTCAATCTCAGGTCTCATACTGTTTGCTTGGAATCTATCACAGGTACGACAATAGGATGTCATTCACTGCTTGTGCCATGCATTTTAGGGTATCCTTTCATGATTATGGCAACAAGAATATTAAAATCATGGCAACATTGTCTAATACATACCTGAAATTCAGTTTCTTTTATGGATGTATTTATGAAACTTATACCTCCAATCGATATCTTTAACTCCTTTTGTGTAAAGTAGGTAGGCAAACTGGTTGTCTTATTTGGGCTCTCTGAGGTTATCTTGGTCAGTAGTTAGATTAGGGGTGAATCAGTCATTTTCCTCTCTACTTTATGGTTAGAATGGCAAGAACTTACTAGACGGGCGAGATGGAGAACTTAAATTTATTTATTTTTCCTTTATACGAATGGAAACTTTTGGTAGCCGAAATTAAGGGCATACGGACTAGAGTATTTCATAAATTGATTAGGAATCGATCGCTTAAGGAAATTCATGTGGTTTTTAGCTTACTTCACGAAGCCGTGAGATAAATTTCAATCGCGTGTTTTGTTGTCCACGCTGTATACACATGAGGCTTTTAATTGTAACTTATTGGATAGCCTTTTGTCTTCTGATGTAAACTCGCTCTGAACTGGTGTCAATAAATTGTTTTTGTCAGCAACCATCAGTATGTTATTTGTAAAGTATGTTGATCAGTTCAGTTTTTTGTGATTTGCAACACACTGAGTTTTCAAAACTCACTGGTTGTAAATTGAAAGCTGCTAGTTTGAACCCTGTCACAGTTCTCCTTCTTTCAACGCATTACATTAAAAGCATATATCTTTCAATCACATGGAAGATTCTAAGTTTATGATAGAGAAGTCAAATGCTTGAATTTCTCTTATATTTGATATTTTACCTTATGGAAGTTAACCTCAAGAGAGTTCTCTTCCCTTAACCAATTTCTGTCATTTGTGTAAACGTGGAAGTACGTTATGCCATAAAGATTTTAATTCGGCAGAAAAGGGGTATATCTCAAGATAAAAATGTTTTTTGTGCTCAGACCTTTGCAGACAAAGTTATCACACTCAGTTTGAGATAAATATCCTCATGTTGTAAAAGTCATCTGTTGTTCGAAATTGGGGTATGTTTGCGAATGCGAGAGTGTTTACTCCAAGACAATTCATAAATGATAAGGCATTAAAGCCTAGAGAGGATCAAACACTTATTTGGTCAACGCGGATGGAATAACATAAGTCCGTGCAACGAGGTGATTTCAGAAAGGACATTGTATCATACGTAAAGTGGAGTCCATTACAATGTATAAATGAATAGCCCTTAGGATACGACATTATTATTATTATCTTTTGTGTCTCTTATTATATGTTCAGAATGAGTTATTATGATTATGTTTTAGTTGAAATAACGTTAACATTAATATTATCAACATGTATGCCAAGATCTAAAAGTAATTCGGCTGGTAGGATATATATATATATATATATATATATATATATATATATATATATATATATATATATATATTACCACTCTGATGATAATTATATCACTGAACATGTGTGGTTTCGCAGTTTCTTGTTAAGATAAAAGAATTACCTTCAGGCAAGTAATTTGGGTTTAATACAATGATGATGTTATGTTTGCGCTAACAATAATCACTATTATACTAATAATCGTTATAAATCATAAAAAACTGAAATAAACGGTATCGAATCCTCCTTTCTTCACATCTTAACAGAACAAAATGGAAATGGTGTAAAAAACTGGTTATTAGGTATAATAAAGGGGGGAAATGTAAATTGGTTTTCCGTAAACACGATTATAGTAATGACTATCAGTTTTGAATTGAAAAATGTGTAATGTGATTCAATTACACCTTCGTTATACTGACAATCTAAGTTTATTTATTGAAATCATATGATCATGTATGAATAGAGAGGAAAGAACATTGAATGAGTTAAGTAACCTATGAACTAACTGAGATATATTTTACAATCCGTTATTGGTGGAGAACAGCTTGTATTATTTGTACGTTCATTCACCCACATTCGCCTGTATGCTTTACATGCATTATTGTGTGTTTACCTCACTGATGTTATCTAAAGTAGAGGTGAAAAATCAGGCAGGAATTATGAATAAGAAGCCTTTTATTTTCTTCAATAGGGTCATTGGCTTTTGTTCAACGCATGACTTTGAATTTTCATCGTTTCAAGTGGAATATGTATAGGTGACAGTAGCTGTTTAGCCTAACCCTTTTCGTCGCATAGTTATTGTACTATGACAGCAATGCTAAAGTAAATATGACTTCTGAATCATAGGTTACACCAATAGCTTTATTAGATATGAGTTTTCAGTGTGCGGAAAGAATGAAGTGTTGTGGTTGTTTGACGTTTGCCATCACAAACTAATTTTAGAAAGAGGTGATCATTTGAATATTTAGGATCTGCTTTTTTAGTTGTTAACAGCTGTCAAAGTAAAATGTTAGATGCTAATTGATAAACATCTTTAGTATAGTAGTGAAAACACAGTTAGTGTTATTCAAGTTAATTGAGGGAGGTCACTGAATGAGATAAGGCTCCTGATGTAGAAGGATACAGTCAGTTACAGCATTTTCCATGAGACCTGAATATTCTAATTGTGTTGTATACTGCTTTAGAAATGTAAAAGACTCGGGAGTTACAGACAGTTGTAAAATAGTTTGTTACTTCACTGCACTATCTTCGCGATTATCTCAGAAGTATCATTCATGCAGAAAATCCCATTCAGTTTAACAATGCTTTTGAATTCTCTTGGTTCAGTATGATCACCTTAACTTATATAGATTAGAAATAAATGATATTTTCATTTTAGTTGATTTATGAGATGTATCACATAGTGGAACATTATTCATTATTCACTGGATTATGCTTCCAACACAGTTCATTGTCCATAGTTATATTAAAATGACTATGGGATACACCTAATAAATCACTAAAATGGAATTTCATTCTACCACGGTGCCCAAGTTTTACTCATATTAGTGAGACAGCACTGCGAAAACTAGAATTCTCGTCTGCATTAATCATCCGATATAGCTCACCATTTAGAATTGAACATGAAGGCATAGAGTATTGCATAAATTGTGCAAGTGACTGATTCCTATCCGCTGCAGACATCTGGAAATCTTATGATTCCATAAAATACCTGAAAAATGAACAGGCCTTGAGAGTTTGTCTCTACTTGACAGCGTGACAGCTGAACCAAATTAACTGTCAGTTTATTCCATGATACATTTATTGATAAGAACTTAAACAGGTTAACTATGAGAATTAAATAGTAATTTTATGAGTCGGAATTCATCAATTTACGGAAAACTCAGAAATTAGGAAAACAGGTACCGACTGTTTGTGTGTAGCAGTCCATAACTAAGAAAGTGGTAAATAATTGTATCTAGTGGTTCAAATCGGTCATCATACTGAATTTATTGGCTTCGAGCTTTCATCATTGCTGAAAATAGAAGCAAAAATTTGTTTTCCATCTAACAAATAACCATTAGGCGCATTTTCATTGGATAACAGATAGTTTGCAATTTCTCAAAAGAAAGCATTCGATAAATTTCAGCTAATTATGTTATAATTTCAAGATGTATTCCCCTGTATTTTAGAATGAAGGATATTATGACAGCTAATGCTTTCTTGTCATCAAACCGTGCAATTGAAGAAAATGTGTCTAATAGTTGTTTATTTATGCCAAAAGACCTGCGACTAACGGACGAATGGAAAAAGCTTGTGAAAACTTCAGCTACCTCTAATGCACAACATGTTTCATCAAATATGTCACTACCTGTTCGTAATTTTGGTTTATGCGGCGCATCTATTACACCAATGGAGTTATTTACTCAAATAACATCTCACTACAGACATATTTCTGATAATTCAACTATGCTCCATCAATGGGATTGCTATTATCTTCCCAGCATTAAGTATAGAAGCATCTTCAGGTGCAATAAGTAAGACATCTGGATCAGGATTGTCTTCTTTTCCTCCTCCTCAACTTTCTTACCCTGCCTCACAGATTTCCACACATACTTCATCAGGTTTAGCAGCGAAACAACATATCAGCTTAATCCACTCATCATCAAACCAATTCACAATATCTGTCGACGAATTTTTTCATGAGATTAATGTGATACCTAATTTACACAGTGTGTTAAAACAACCACTTGAAATAATACTATATGACAATACTTCAGATTTAATTAAACAAGGTCACTTGCCCGAAAGCTATTGGCCTTTGCTTTAGAATGTATTGTAAACCACAGAAGTAAGCATGAGTCCGTTTACGAGAAATTTAATAACCTTTGGTTTAAATTAGACCATCTGCATCATCTACAAATCCAAAAAGGGAATTCATGTACATTCTGTTTTCAAAATGGTAAAAGTGACAACCCCAACAACAGTGATAACAATAGTATGGATGACAATCGGGGTACATCTCATCGATTCGTTCTTGAATCCAGTATGGAATTACATGTAAAACTAGAACACTCTCAGTCATCTACTGGAGATTATTCTACCCCATTAATTAGCACATCTGCAAGTGAATTAGTTGATAAGTTGAACGTGCTGATTTCAAACTCTACTTTTTCAAATCTATTTCTTTCGTGTTTAGAGGATAATGATCGTACTACGAGTCATTATAAAAAGACACCTAATGATATACTTCACTCATTATTAGAAACTTCTAAGCATTTTACACCAGAGAGTTTCAAAGACCCAAAAATGCACACGGACATGAGTGGAACGGAACTAAATGATACTAGTTCGCCTTTATCATTTGCAACGGAACAGAAATTTCTAACAAATAATTATTCCACTGTCGGTACTACTAACAGAGATATTAGCGGTGTGTGTGAGTCGAATATTTCATTGTCCTCGTCAATAACATCATCTGACCAGATAAATTTACTGAACAAAGATTTGAAAAATTCATTAACAAACGACTCAATTAAAATTATAAGTAACAATGTATATTTTGATAAGTCTAACCTTCTATCAAATTATACTGCAAATGGTACCAATAATATTACTGATAATCATAATGGTGATATAGACAGTAAAATCCATCTACCGTTAGCCGAAGCCCTGCTAAGTTCTATAAAAGATTATAACTTAAACAATTCAACAAGTATTTTGCACAAATTATACTTAAAAGCCCAAGAGGAACAACACAGACTAATTCAACAACACCGGCAGCAACATTATAACCAACAAACCTCATCTTCTGCATCACAAAAACGAAGTCGTACTCGTCTAAGTGAAAAGCAATTGAGTATTTTACGTTCATATTTCGATATAAGTAATTCACCATCAGATGAAAAGATACGTGAAATTTGTGCAAAAACAGGTTTGCAAGAAAAAGTTGTAAAACACTGGTTCCGGAATACCTTATTTAAAGAACGTCAAAAGAATAAAGATAATCCATATAACTTTTCGATACCTCCAAGTACAAGTTTAAATTTAGAAGAATATGAAAAAACTGGCAGAATAGAAGTTCTTTCAACAATGTCAAGCAAACATAATCATAAAGAACAAGAAGAACAACAGTTTTACTCAGATAATGAGCAGTGTAACGAACAAATCAATGATGATTCTCACTATGAATCTTGTTCACAAGATCCATTAACTTCCAGCGGTTATACAGCATTACATAATCATTCTAATACTCATATTAGCAACTTTTCACATTCAAGAAATATTGACGAAACATACAGTGATTCTAACATAGTGAATGACTACACAAAATATGAGAATAGAAACAAAGAATCTTTAAGTTCTCCTACAAAGCCAGCCAATTCAGCGACTAAAAGGTTATATGACGTTGAATCAGCATCTTTTATAAATGCTGATAAGACAAAATGGGATATTCATCGTAAACGTGTGCGGCTTCATAAAGATATTCAGCAGACTAACATAAATAATGAAGTAAGTTGAACATTTCGTTTGCAGTATGATCTTATAACCTTATTGTGGAGACAAGTGTACTTATTTAACTCCTGTCCTTAATCGGATATATTAACTGTTTAAGGATGAAAAGAAAGAGCCCATAATTATTCTGGATCTGATTTTAGTCTCCATTACTAGAAACTGATCGAAAATCTGAACCACAAAAGCATCCTAAAATCTATTTTTGTGTCTCAGTTAAACTGGCTTAAAAACAATAGTAGATCAGTTGAAAGAAAAGAGTGATAGATTAAGATAACGGCATAAGTAGATAGTCAATAAACAGATTTCGAATAATAAAAAAGCCTAACTTTATGGCATGACAAAACTATATCTGCTGCAAATAAGTATTTTCAAACTATACTACTTAAGGTGTTTTGGTTGCTGGCATGTAAATTATTGTGGATGACTCCTTACAACTGCTGTTTTACCGCATTGCCCTAAGTTAAATTAAGTGACGTGCTGAATGGGTACAACGTTTTAGTGATACTTAGTTTTTAACTGGTGGTGACCAGGTTCTAATCCACTGCGCTTACTTCCCACTGAGCAACTGGACAGTATCAGTAGTTTTCACACAGATGTGATTTATAGTCCAGTGTAGTAATCGTTACGTCACGACTGAGTTGCATCATTAAGCATTCTCTATAGAGTTTAGCAACTACAAAAGTAACTTATGATGAAATGTATGCGATCTTGATCCATCAGACAAAAGGATTCTTACACGTCCGAATTTATTTTATGCTTAGACTTTTACGAAGTTAGACTGTCTATTGCTAGTCGCTTAAATAATTTCAGCATTTAAAGTTTTCTTCTCTAGTTGTTGGCCACCTTTGGATAATTTACAAAGTAGAACAACGCAAAAGTTGTTTTTCTGCATATATAGCTTCCCTTAAATCTAATAGGGAGATTACTGGTGGGCTTCATGTAGTTACACAAACACATGAGGAAATTTCTGATATCTGGGGTTAGAAATTAGGTTTATGACTTTGCATTAGTCTTCTTCAATGCACTGGCGCTTCAGTGTACATCAAATCTGAGATATACCTGGTCTATATATTTTGTATTAAAGTAACAATTGCTATTAGCAGTTCAATTTTGGCAGCAACTGTCAACTGATCACTTCTTATTCCATCATTTCAGTTTACTAACCGAAAATTCCCAGTTAGTCTGAATCACTCTTGCTTTCTGTATGTGAGCTATCGATGACAGATCTCAAAGAAAGCTTCTGTGAATCAAGCCAACAGCTACTAAGGTTCATTTACAAACTTTTATCCCGGTTCGGAAGAAAAAGATTGCGTCTTTTTTTATATGCAATAAAGAATTTTCGCACGAAAAGACAAAGTTCGAAACAGTCAATAGAAAACCATTAACAGGAACTGGAAAAGTCCAGAGTATTTTTGAAACAGGTTGAACATTTAGCAGTGTCGACAGTTTGCAATATCAATGGTTACGAAATCAGAAGGTACCTGATACGAGCTATCACTTGTTTATTTCGTTACTCATGGAAAACGCTATGCGCAAGTTGGATTCTCTTCTGAAGTCATCATCTTGAATACCAGATTTCGTTGGTTTGCTTTGGTAGTCTAATTAAGACAGTTATATTGATCAAGAACTGGTAGTTGTATTTGTGAATTTACACTCGAATAACAAAACCAGATTGTGAAGTTAAAAGACGGGAGAGTTTATCGGTTGGTAAGGTATGCTCCACAAGTTAAAAAAGAATTTCTCATCGAATAGTATAATTCCACGTTTGTCAGTTCGGTTAATGTATTCATACACTATTCTGTATTACTTCATGGATACAATGCGACTAGTAGAGTAGACTGTGGTGTGTTACGATCTGCTAGTCAGTAATCATTCAGCCGAGATTCAGGCAATATTTCTTATAGTCTAAGTGAACTCCAGACTGAAGTAACGTCAGATACAAGTTTTAATTTTAAAGATGACGTAAAGTTTTCTACGTTTACACTCATTTAGGCCAGCCTTACAGTTTCATACCCGTCTCTTACTTATATTTTTAGTCATAAAGTGAAATATTACTACTACCATATAGGTGAGTTGATAAGACATGTTCGATGTTAGATAAAAATTATACTTTATGTAACACTGATGCATAAAATGTCCACCGAAAGTAAGGAATTTTTGTCATAAATTTTTTGAATAAGGATGACAACATTTTTTACAAACCAGTCACTTTTCTGCACGATGAAGCAATCATATGCTGTTCACAGTAAAAGATACTCGGTGAACTTTGTCCTAAAAAGATTATATTTTGCAGCCCATTGAGCAGATTGAACTCGTGTCAACATTTCAAAGCCATACACTTAGTTTTGCAGTAATCTTTTCAGTTTGGAGTTTGGAAATTAACTGAAAGTATTTTTTTTCTGTGACCTAGATACCTGTATCGCTACTGCCTAACGAAGAGTCAGATATGAACCACAGTTACAAAAGAAATTTACACTCAGCAACATCAACCGAAAATACTGATGGGGATTTTCAGTCATTTATAATGGCAGATAATTCAAATAACTCACATGGATCACCTCCTTCGATTACATCGGAAAGTTCCCCGTCTATTTCTGACGCTCCTTTATCGCCTAGACTACCATTTATTCCTGACCTAGACAATCCTCAAAGTGTTATCGCTGCACTTATTCGTCTTGGAAACCATAACCAGATTCAACAACAACATACAACTTATGAATGTGGGAACAAATTAGGTAACCCATGGGAGTTTCCGTATTTTTCGTCAGTTGCTGCTTCTAGGTTGCCTAGCAACAATGATATCTACACAGATACAAACAAATTACAGCACCATATTGCAGCACTAATGAGTGGATCGATCGGTACAAGTATGTCAAATTTCCAGAGTTCATCAGAATCGAATGAAGCACCTTTAGATCTAAGCTCCAAAACAACACCACCGGCTGTGATGAGTTCTACTGACGACACTATACGCAAAACTAATCTACCTTACTATGAACAGCTTACACATACTTCCGATAATGAGGTTAACAACGATTGTGATGTTATTTCACAAGATCATTTTATTTCTATACCCTCACTAATTCAATCAGAACATGCTTCTGGTGTTTACCACTCAACAAGCACAACATCTAGTACAAATGGTGGACGTAGAAACAGAACTAGTATTACTGCACTCCAGTCTAGGTGTATGCACTCAATATATAACCATCACAAAACGCCATCAGTACATGAATGTGATAGATTAGGTGAAATTATCGGCCTTTCTCGGCGTGTTGTTCAAGTATGGTTTCAAAATCAACGTGCTAAAGAAAAGAAAATGGCACGTGTTTCTTCTGGACAATTCGGCTTCTCTGTCAATCCATCTACATCATCAGTAGCAGATAAGTTATCGCCTAATGATGCTTCTACAATGGACTCAAATTACTGCCAGATATGCTCAGTATCCATTCAAAATCGGAGATATCTAGTAATTCTGGATTTGTAAATCAACAGGTAACAAATGTTGGTAGTCAGTCAGCAAATTTTGCATCACATGCTTCATTTGTTGACCATCTGTTTTCGCCTCTTCATTTGAAAAAGTTAATACGCTGGTGTACAATGGACACGAGTTAGTTGAACACTACAGCTAATACCTGGGTTGTGTATATTTTTCCCCATCCTCCTCACTTCACACCACTTCATTCTAATGAATTTCAACATTTCGTTTCTCTAGTTAACCAATGCTGAAGATCAAAATATTGAGTAGTATGACTCAAATATCCGTGCTTTCTTTACCGTTCTCAGTCGTAGGTGACATTTCACCTTTCATACCACACTGGAAAGAAAGACAGTGCTAATTTGTTTAATTTTTTCGATTTTTAATTTGTTTACCTATTTTTATCTTTTGCTCTCAGTATGCCTCCGACCATCTGCTCGTGTTTATCTTAACTACTAGTTGTTAAAATGAGTTTGTAAAATTTCCTCATAAATACGATAAACTGGTCGAAGAATGAGCTTGAAAGACAGGAATTTTTCCAGACGAAAACAGCAATACACAGATTAGCAATATATGCATAATATTTACAATCGTCTTTTGACAAACTCTCACCAAAATTAATGGAGTAAAAAATACTTCATTTTAATTATTTCAATTATTAATTTTTATAAATGAATGAGTTTACGCAGACTTCTGAAGAATAAACGCAGCGCAAATATATATATATATATATATATATATATATATATATATAATTATTGTAATATACACATATATATTATAAAATTAAAAAGCCTAAAGTTTTGTTCCAACTGGTTTTGTTACTTGGATATTCCGATTTCATGTGACTAGGAGCTTAGATTTGGTGATGTAGTAACTTAACTTCTCACCGAATTTTGTTGCACGTCTGTATAGTTTGAGGAATTAGATAACATTATTAGCAGTCAAAATGAGTTATATCGACTTTGCAACCAATAAGTCAGCACAGTTCAATAATAAGATTGCAGTTCTGAGTTTTGGACTATTTGGAATGTTTATTTTAAGAAGCCTGTAGAAACAACTTATAGCTATTCAAACTAACATGAGTGAAATAGTCGTGAAACCTACAGTGGCGTGTGACCAACTGCTTTTACGACCGGACTGTGAGGGTTAATGAGGCTAACATGGTCAATAAGTAGGCAGAAAAGGGACGCACTTTATATCTTGGTAGGTAGTAGGAAGAAATTACGAGTTTTAAGTACTGCGTATATATTTACCTGTCTGGTTTCCTAATCAGTGAAAAGATTCAGACATCTAGTTGATTTTAGTTGGATCCTTTGCGGTGGTATCTTTTGGTTTATTTCATCATTAACATCAGGCAAGGAATATTTGAGGGCACTGGACAAGCATTCCATCGGATGTCGAGACTCTTTACCAGTACATGCTGATGCTACACTAAAGTGAAAACTATTTTAACATCAATATATTGCCCAGAGAACTTTCAACCATGTAATAAATGAGTGCCAGTTGATGATGAACTGTAGGGTAACCTTTTCAAAATTTTAGCTATCAAACAAAACTTGGGGTGAAGAGTAATCATCATATATGACAATGAACTATAAGTGTGGGTAGACAATTTGGAACTCGGGTTTTTGATTTCTTTATAGTGAATGAATGCTAATATGATCGATACAGAGTCTAACTGTGCAGAGTTTGATTCAGTACGAGGTCACTATATTGCACTTCTAATTCTTCCTAAACTAAAATGAAACAACTATTTAATGGTACACGGTTCTCTAGTTTATTTCAGTCCATGATAACAAACTAAGAGTTCCATTAGGACTAGACTAGTACAAAAAGAAAGTTATGACAATGGAAACGTTTTGAAGAGTATATTTTATTTCGTATTACCATTTTCAGTTCGATTAACAATTTAAAAAGTTTGTAGCCGAAGATTGCCTTTAAGTAGTTGTCAAAGTGAATAAGTACTTATTTGCATCAATTTTAAATGGAAACATTGGTGGTTGGGTTGTAGATGGGTCCAGAGAGAGTTTGACGCCCGTCATATACAAGTGATAATGAAGCCATTGAACGTAATGCTTAAATATGGTAGATGACTTCTGGATAAAAATTCATGAGTCGTTTCGTGTTCACTGAGCTTAGAGGTTTGATCTTCGATTTTTCATCACCTAGACGACTTCCTCAGTATTTACTTCATGTCAACCATTTCCTACCATTATATTAAAGAAATAATTAATGAAAAAATTTAGGGGAAAATATACAGACACATCGATATCAGGTGCATGAACCTTTATAAAGGATATGTTGATTTTGTGTGCGGTATCAAACATTACTAGTGTGAATGATGATCATACACAGCACAGTTATTAAAAAACTGAACACTGCTCTTAAGTCATATTGGTAATATTAGTGTATTGACCTAAAACTAATCAAGATATACATTAGTATTTTGTATTGGTGAACTTAAATAAGATCGTTTTGAAAAAGGGTCTTTATCGTACTTTGAAAACGTTAAAACAAATAACTTATCATTATAGACCAGCATCAGAAATACATATGAACAATGTGAAATTTATCCCAATTCCGCACCTGTTCATGCCATCAGTACTTATTATCACATAAAAATGAGGGAAACAATTCGTATTTCTATTACCCAACATTGTCATAGTCTTGTATAGACCGACAACTCTCGTATACAATATCAGAAGATTAGTAACTGCATCATGGACTATCATTAAACCGAGGTGGATGAATAAGTCATATGATATCAGCAACACATTTTGATGTGTATTGACAAAAAGTTAATACAATAAACTGTAAAAATATGTTAATAATGAAGTGCAAACTACCTATTTTGTTCTGCAGACCAGTAAAATCAAGGAAACTTAACTCATTAAATGTAAAAAGTTTCCTACAAGCATAAATATGAATGCTGAATATTATTCAAAATGCGTGGGAATTTTGTTATCTTTAACACAAACAAAATGATGGTTTACAACAAATGCAACTTCAAGGGAAATGTGTTGCTTTGACAAACATAGAAGTAAGGCGATATTGTCGTGGTACTTGTCAACTATGTAGTTCAAAGTACCAAATAAGCGATATATTATTAATTAGAATGCACACAAATTATTTCCGCCTGAATTTTGCAGTACATATTTAACTGCTTAATTTTTATGGTGGAATGTATAAATTACTAGGGATATTTTTTGATTATCTTATTAATTCATCCTTTCGTTTTAATTATCAGTTGAAATGATACACACTAGAGGTAATTATCCTACTACCAGTTGGTGAATGACTAATGCTTTGATAAAAACATTTATTCGTACTATAAATAAAGTAACTCAAAAAGTAATTTGATTCTGTGTTTTCTCTAACAATGATAAATTTACAAGTGATAAGAACTCCTAATGCATACTGAAAACAGATAACTGATCACTTGAATAATACACTCGCACCGTAATGAGTTGCAGATGAAGACAAGACTGAGAGGGTAACATCTATTTCTGAAGAAAAGTGTAAAATTTACACAAGCAGCTACTTGTGTATCCATTTTACGTGATCAATTACTAAGACGTTTGGGATAGATGAATTACCTTTTTCAACAGTATTTAGCAGTTAACCAAGCCAACCACAGTCTAGTATAATAAAGCGTTAGTTGTGTGACACTTAACCAAGTTTACACGGGAGTGATCAGTTAGAATCGTACGAAAACCATTGACCAAGGTAAATATATCTGAAAATCCTGACAAAAACGTGGTGATATATTTTGTCCCAGTGAGGTTGACTACCGACTGAAATGAGTGGTTGTATACCATTAATGCCACTCAGCAGCACTAACTAACCGAATAGAAGTGATCTAAACACTTAACTATCATTCCTATGGTTTTGAACCTTTTACTGGGGACATGTCATAATCCATTCTGCTCAGAAAGCCAAATTTGTGTTCTCTATATTATGTTAACCTGTTATTGTCTAAATCTTGACAACATTTACGATGTTAGGTAGATCACATTTTTCAGTGTAAACATTTCAATTTTGAAAGAAACTACTGTGAAATTGCACAGATGGGTGTTATCTAACTGTCATTCTTACCATAAACTTCGTAGTTTGTGAAGGCTTTATTGCATTAAGCTTTCAAACCCACTTCATCTTCTGAGTTAAGTAAGTAGGCAATACTACGTGACTTTGCAATATAAGCATGAATCAGAATTCAGTATGATAATCCTAAATACACTAACGCACAAGATGAAAAAAAGTCAGTCTACCAAGCCTTCTACCTATACTATTAGATTTTATTTTGACTGGGAACTTAAGGGAGCTTTTTCACAACCATGCTAGTGATGAAAAGAAGTTGAAATCCTGTCAACATCTGGGCAAAAATGACTCAGTTACCAGGAGAATAAAAATTGTTACCTTAAAATTTCTAGTTTTAATGTCAGTGCTACCTGAAATGTCTGCCATAATTTCAGCTGAAAGACTGTGAGACTAAAATTTAGAATGAAACTGACAGATAGGCTTCGCATACCAATTCTGGTTTTCTGTTGCAACCATACTGGCTCAGAAAAGTAGCTTTGAAAACATTGTGAATGAAGTTCCTATATTGTACTTAGACCATTTGATAATTTTATCCCCATTAAGTGTTTCTGACACACATAAAGTCATTCAAAAATAAGTAGCAGTAATCTACAATTTGACAGTAAAAGGAGGTAGTTAGTCAACTTTTGAACAGTATTATATTCAGCAGTAGCTTTTTTCTTTTCCTCCACCTTCTTTTTAAGGCGAAATCTAGGTGTTCTGTGAAACCGAATTTTGCAACAATTATTGAGCCTAAAATGCTAAACGATTTATTAACTGCTAGTAGGTGGGTGGGTGGAAGAAAATTCAGCAAACAAAATCCTCTCTATAACTGATTAAGTGTAGCCTATATCAAGTGTTGACTATATAAACTTTTTTGACAAGTAAGATGAATAAAAGTGCTAAGTTCTGTCACCTATCCAAAGATACGCTTCAATGATAGCTAACGGTTAGACTTCTGAATCAATCTCTCAATACTCTAGATGAATGCAGACAAAAACAAGAACATAGATCTGAATGTAAAAATTTTACTGCCTCGGTAGCAAACAACGTAAGTCAGAATTTGTGCGCATACATGTGCTAGAATGTTGACTGCTCAAAACGGAGGGCACTTATACAGTATGAGTAAGGTAGCAACCTTGAAATAGATGGAAAAAGCAACCTCTTGTTGATATTGTAAGAAGGGTTGTAGAAACAGTAAGTTCGAATTTTATACAAAAATGAAAAAAAGTTATTTGGACAAATATTTGGGCTCCTTTATAAAAGGGGATTGTGAAACAAAAATGTCGAATGAAAAAGTTTCGTTACGAAAACTGAATTATATTAAATCATTCATTTAAAATACCTGGCATGAAAGTGTTCAATAATTCACTATTATTTTGCTTTACTTAGTATGAATGAACCGAACTATTGGCAGTAAAAAGGTTTCACTATAAATTACTAGTTAGTCAGCAAAGAAAAATTTCTTCTAATGTACTACATTTTCTCAGGGAAACTGTTGTCTTCAAGCTAAGTAATTTTACTGAAATGGCTTTAAAAGTTGTTCAGGACTTTAAGATTCACTGAATATTTATTGGACTTTGGATGTTAACAGGTCTTGACTGGTTGGTGGATATCATCAAAAGTAAAAC